GCTGTCAAGTACAACAGATCTCTTGTGGTCAGTTGCTTTGCAAGGATGCCCATAGTGTCCTAGCAAGTCAGACCTACATATTAGCAATGTCTGTAAGGTTAGAGCCAACTCTTTAGTCGGCCACTTCTACATAATTCAACAACAATATCTGTTTTCTTTCCTTTTAGATATACAGACGAGTCCTCCAAACAATAAGGGGATAACAGAGAACACGGCCATCATAGCAGGCGTAGTGGCTGCACTGGTTCTGCTTGTAGCTCTGACCTTACTGGCTGTCTACTACATCAACACACACCCCACAGTTGCTCCACCGTTCTACCTCATGCAGGTGAGAAACACAAATTCATACAATCCTATAGAGTGGACAGTTTCTGTTTAAAGATATCCTACATGCATACTCATGTTTGCAGAGGTGGAAAGTACATTTACTTAACTACAAATCTGAGCCACTTGTATTTGAGTCTTTTTCTGTTGATACTTACTTTTATATGTAACATTTTTGCAGGACTTTTGCATGTTAAAGAGTATTTTTTACAGTGTGCTATCAGTACTTTCTCCTAAGTAAAGGATCTGAATGCTTCCTCCATCACTGCATGTTTGTCTGCTGCCTGGCCTTTAGCAACTACTGTCTGTTGTTCGTAGCGACGCACCAATAATTACTGGCCCTCCATGAAGTTCCGCAACCAGGGCTGCCACTCCAGTTACGCCGAGGTCGAGCTTGGGGGTCATGAAAAGGAAGGTTTCATTGAAGCTGAGCAGTGCTGCTAAGAGTCCTGGACTGACAGGACTCAGCCAGAAGAAGAAAGGGCACCATCTTGAGGACTGCAAAGGTATTACTAGGGGATGAATATGGACGATCAGGCCAGACATCGACACAGGGTGTCCCGACTCCAACCTTGGCGGCTGGACAGTGTTTACTGTAACTGCTCTTGTAGCTCTTGCCAGCTTTCTCTGTGTCTTTTGCTCTTTGCCATTACACAGGGGATTTGCCATATGATTCAAGGGTTGGAGGGTCTGAGAGGAAGACGACTGTACAGAGATGATGAGATGCAAGCGTGTAACTGTACAAAAACCCATCAATGCAAGGGGATGTCAGGGAATGAATCGAACTAGCCTTCATACTGCAAACCAACATACAGCTCAACTTAATGTGTTTCTGTTTTTATTCAGTTTATTTTTGTTTCATGAAACTTCCACACGACCAATGACTGGTTCATAAAATGTTATATCTCTGTGGACTTCACTATAACAGATATTTAGCTATATAACTGATAGTGACTATAATGGTCATCTTGAGCTTCTCTGGAGAAATTCTGTATGGATGAATTTTAGTGACATCACGTTATGAGAGTTTTCTTTTAACCTTTCTGTTTAAATGTCTTCTAATAAAAGCTGGTGGTGAGTGTTGATATAAATGTCATGCTTGGTGAGGAGTTGAGAACAAATGGTGCAGACCACTTTGCAGACATTTAGACCAGGTAAAGAAGATGCTGGTCAATGTCAGGTGAGTGCTATCGGGTAACATACAGTTTAATTTACATGCCAATATTTAATTCTGATAATTGAATGAATGAGCTCTAAATGCACTCATTCATTTAAACTGATGTAAAGGTACTATTAAATTAGTTCTTATAGTTGTTGCTTACATGCACATTAATACTTGGGACATGGACTGGCATGTAATTTAATACGCCACTAAACCTTTGAACATTTACACCTACTGTCTAGGCTAGGGTTGCAACGTTATGAGATTTTCATGGTATGTTAACCATCCCAGAAAATACTGCAGTGTCACCGTATTACAGTGCTGATATTATTGTATTGTGGGGTGATCCCAACCCCTAAATGATATGCATTGTAATATTATAATTTTGTGATCCACTTTTTTATTTCCTTATTTCTACCTAAACAAAGGAATACAAGTATACAATGCATATTTATTTTAAGGGTAATATTTGGCTCTCCTGAAGCTAAACTGTGCCGTAACAGGCAAAGATTGGAAAATAAAAATTAGACGATAGATAGATAGATAGATAGATAGATAGATAGATACTAATTATTATCATTTACATCAATTCAGCCCACCACAAAAGTGATTAGTGTAACCATCGACATTTTACATAGAAATAGAGGAATAAAGAAGCAAAATTGAAACTGCTTACTGACTATCTTAAAATACCCCCAAAAGTTTACACTAGATAGGTACGTTCTTGAGAGTAAATGCTTCCTTATTGTTAACTTACATTTTCTAAAAACATATCCAAAAAAAATTAAAAATATAAATGAAGGTCATTAAGGCCTGAAAAGAAAATCAGTCATTACTCAAATAAAGTAATGTCTCGTATGTAGTTTTTACATTAAAACAACATACAAACAGACCCAGCCACCATTAGGGATTGAGGACAATTACAATACACTGCCACAAGATGGAGCCAGAGACTACACGACAGCCAATAACATATACAGTATCTCACATAAGTGAGTACACCCCTCCCATTTTTGGAAATATTTTATTCAGCTTGAGGATGGCCCACAGGTGCACAGGTGAGTTTAGGGCTGGATACATACTTGGCCAGTCCATCACCTTCACCTTCAGCTTCCTCAGCAAGGCAGTTGTCATCTTCTAGGTGTTTTGGGTTATTATCATGTTGGAAAACTGAATTGTGGCTCAGTTTCCTAAGAGGGGCGATCATGCTCTGCTTGGAATTCATGTTTTCCTAAGTATAGTACCAGTCAAGTATAGTGGTGGCAGCATCATGGTTTGGGGCTGCATGAGTGCTGCCGGCTCTGGGGAGCTCGGTTCATTTAGGGAAACATGAATTCAAAGCAGAGCATGATCGCCCCTCTTCAGAAACTGAGCTACAATGCAGTTTTCCAACATGATAATGACCCAAAACACACCTAGTAGATGACAACTGCCTTGCTGAGGAAGCTGAAGGTAAAGGTGATGGACTGGCCAAGTATGTATCCAGCCCTAAACTCACCTGTGCACCTGTGGGCCATCCTCAAGCTGAAGGTGGAGGAGCACAAGGTGTCTTCACATCCATCTGCTCCATGATGTCAACATGGAGGAGTGGGAAAGGAATACTGAAGCAACATGTGAGCTCTGGTGAAATCCATGCCCAAAAGGGTTAAGGCAGTGCTAGATAATAATGGTTGGCACACAAAATATTGACACTTTAGGCATAATTTGGACATGTTCGCTGTGGGGTGTAACGTTACTCACTTACGTTGCCTGCTGTTTAGATGTCGATGGCTGTGTTTTACATAATTTTCAGAGGAAGGTAAGTCTATGCTACTATACAAGCTGTACACTGACTACTTTAAGTTATATCAAAGTGTCATTCCTATAGTGTTGTCCCATGACAAGATATAATGAAATATTTGCAAAAATGGGAAGGGTGTACTCACTTATGTGAGATAATGTATATTGATTGTATATTAATTGATTGATATATTAATGTTAGTTAGGTCCCACAGACCAACAAAACAGACTCTTTGTAACGTGACAAAGAGTTATAAGAGCTGAATTAACATACTGATATGTTGACTGCTCTTAGTTAACAAATTAACGTTTCAGAATAGGATTTCCAATGGCAAATCAGCGGTTGAGAGAGGTAATGAACACAACCTCCACACAGCTAAGAAGCTAGCTAACATTGCTGCTAGCTGCTCTAATTAATTAGCATGACCAGAGCTAGCTGCACACCAGAAGAGTCCAATTATCTTAGCAAATAACCAACAAACAAGTATTAATTATATCAAAATATGACTTACAGTTCGATGTACAGACATTGAAGCGAGGATAGTAACACTTGTGAGATTAATTAACAAGTTTAAAAACTTTAAAAACGTCTCTCCATCCTCAAAGCTGAAGTAGTGCAGGTGGAACGTACCATTCTAAAAAGGGGGTGGAAGAGTCCAATTGGTGCTAGCATTAATGCTAACATAAAATGATTTAAAGCATATTGAAACGATAATTGAATTGCTTAAAAAAGGTGAATAAAACATATTGTTGCGTTTGTTATATTTTAGCTGAGGTCTCATGATGCAACGAAATTGGCTTCCAAGGCGGGTAAGGCTTGTACAATAGCCGTTAACCGGCAAATTACGGTGGCAGTTGGTCGTAGATTCACCTTTACCGTGTATTTAAACGATAACTCAACAAACACAAGACGTAATGGCGGTTGGAAAAAAAAGAGGGGGCACCCGGATTTGAACCGGGGACCTCTTGATCTGCAGTCAAATGCTCTACCACTGAGCTATACCCCCGATGCGATATAAAAGGAAAACACATAGTATTTATCTATACATGTTACTGTGTTTCTGGGTGGTTTTTGTTTTATGTACCAGACTACGACGTGTGTTAGCACCGATAAAACTGTACGATGTAAGCCGCAACGTAACATTTAGCTTTTTCACAGTGTAAAGAAAATGGCCGCTACAATGTCCGCCATTCCCCGGCAGAGTGCGCCAAAATAAACTGTTACTCAGGGGTCTTGCAGTGTTATATCTCACCCACAGTTTGTCTGAATTTGTCGTCAATGGTTTAAAGTGTTTTAGTTTCACGGACATTAATATGTTAATTACATCATTATAGTGTTAAAATAGAGCACTGGGGTTACGGTTACGTTGGTGTAACAGTCGGTAAGTTGCGGCTCCTTTTAAGGTTATTACAGATGCATTTGAAGCTGCCTTCAGGTGCACTCGTAATTCACAGATTTCCCGTAGGATGATGACAGTTGTTGCTGGGATTTTCCACGCTTTACTTAAAGTTGTGATAAACGTCAGATAAAATCTTATTTGGATCAACTAGAGCTTTTAACAAAATCTGTTCAGTGGGTTACTTTGAAGCTTCATATTAGCACAGTCTGGTTTCTTATCACCTACACACAACATGTGAAACTTCCTATATCCGATGGTTTTGAAGGCACCGTGACGGCTCCGTGCTTCACGCTTGACTCCTCCTCGCCTTGAGCTCCAGTCCGTATATTAATTGACATGCCTGCAGGCGAAGAAGAGGAGGACGGTTAGTGTCCCAGCTGCTCATCACAGCCTGTGTTTAAACTTTCGGATACTTTTCTTTTTAATCAGTAGGTTAATTGTTGTTTTTGTTATTTTGTGGTGTGAGGAATCCCTGCGCCATCATGAATCCGCCCTGTGGAAGATGCAATAAACCAGTTTACCCCACAGAAAAAATAAATTGCCTTGATAAGGTAAGGTGATACAAGTCTGACCTCATTCACTGACAAAATATCACTTTGATATTAGAGATTTCACAGGTATTTGTTGAGCTATAGTCTTTAATAATAACCTGTCTGATAATATGTTTTATATATTGTAGTAGGCACTCTTACAGGTGGAGGGAATACTCAGATCTTGACCTTAAGAAGTGGCAGCGCTGTATTAGAAATACTTTATTACATGTAAAAGTCATGCATTCAAATTTCTGCTAAAGAAAAAGTACAAAAGTAGGCTATTGGCATCAAAATATACTTTAAGTGCAATAAGCAAAAGTACTACTCATAATGTAAAAGGGCCCATTTCAGAATAATGTATATTAAATGTATAAATATGTTCATCATTTTTAAGTAGCAGATGGTGAAGGGGCTCATTTAACTACTTTATATACTGTATGGAAGAGATATAAGACTATATATCATCTTACATTTTGGATATCGTTGTATCGTGATATGGCATAAATGTTTTTTTGCCCTTGTTTTAATGTTTAAATTACAATTAAGTGATGTAAATTTATTAACTTAACACACTTTTTATTTGTTTAAACACTTGCCTTAACCCAGTTAGTCATTACATCCACATTATTGATGATTATTGAAGACAAAAATAGCCATCCCCACAACTTCTTTGCATCAGAGAGGGTATTTCATCACAGATATTATGTTTGATTTTGTCTACAAGTCCTAGCATTAATGAAGTGCTTTTGAGGACATTTAAAATATCTAGATATATATTGTGTATCGAGATATAGCCTAAAAATATCGTGACATATCACCCAGCCCTACGTGGTACCTTGAGAAGGAATCATTAAAGTTCTATCTTAATCTATAATATTATACAATAATTTATTTTTTTGTATTTATTTTTTTAAGACATGTAGAGTGGCAAGAAATGGAGATATTTAGTAAGTTACAAGTACCTCAACATTGCTCTTAAGTTCAGTATTTGAGTAAATGTACTTAGTTACTTTCCCCCACTGCCTATAGACCACTATGTATTTTCTTTTCCTTGACTATCACTGTAGCTTTTTGATTTCTTCAGGAAAAATCTGTAGTTGGTTTAGCAAAATGAAATTACAGTAAAAGTTGTCACTTGCTTTTAAAAAGTACTTCAGTGGTCAGTGCTTGAGAGGCAGATGTCTCTCTCTTGATGTTTATTTACTGTCACCAACTGTCTCATTAGACAAGCAGCTATTGTTATCACAGCATATGTCTTATTTTAACCCACAATGTTGTACATAAAGCCACAGTATCTGCTCTGCAATGCTTTACCACTATATAAAATGGACAGTGTTGTGTAAATTACATTAAAACTGCAAACTGCAAGTTAATTCACAATGAAAACTAGTTAAACTACATCTTAATTACTCTAAAAAATAGCAGGTCAAAGTAAATCTAGTTTCAGAAAGTAGTTCAACTACACTTTGGGAAATGATCACAATCTGAGTCTGGAGTGTCATATTGTGACACGGAGGTACAACTGAACTAAGTAAAGTGTAGATGTGTTTGATTTAGGGACTGGGGCCAGCCAGTTGTCACCCAGGCAGCAAGGATGTGTTTTAAGGAAAGGATAAGGAGCAGTTGTTGAGGTGGAATCAGGAAAATGCCACACTTAGCAGACCTGTTGACTGAAAAATGAGCTGATTTTAAACAATGGCAGGTGATGGTCATTAAACAATAATCATGGCCAATAAGCTCTGGCAGTGTGCCACATGTTATGGCAAAAAAAACTTCATGGGAAAACTATGAATATCGTTTTTAATTAATTATATAAACTACATGACCCAAGGTAAAGCTACTGTGATTTGAATATCATTTAACTGCCACCCAACTACTACAAACTGTAGTTAGACGAGTATAGAAACTACATGTTACCACATGCACAATAACATACAATACATAAAAACTTACACTGTATGTACACCAAAAAAACACACACTATAAGGGAGTGATGAGGAGGAAAACCACATCCGGTAGATAAACATGAGCCAGAAATCTCTACATGTTGGAAAAAGGGCATAGACTCAGTGTGTGTGTGTGTGTGTGTGTGTGTGTGTGTGTGTGTGTGTGTGTGTGTGTGCGCCTGTGTTTGTCAGTCATCATATCAGCTTGTTTACACATACTCTGATAAAGTGACTGCAGCCAGATAAAGACAAAACTCAGATTACTGCAACAGTCCAGTTTGATTAAGTGAATTTAAGGAGACAATAAAAGCAAAATTGTCTAATTAACTCACCAATTTTTGATTATTTCGTCTGAGTTGGTGCATAAACCCAAAATTCACGGAGTGAACCTTAGGGGAAAGTGTTATTTTTATGCACCTTTTATATAAGGAACTCGCATTAAAGCACTCTTTAAATTTCTCATCGCAAAACACCAACAAAGTTTTTCCATTCTGTGGCACTACAGTGTGTCAGATAAGTCATGTGAGCAAGTGAATTGAGGAGTTGGCGCACTGTAATCCACACTTTAATCTGGCAACTGACAATACACAGGTTTTAATATGCACCTAAACCAGTGGTTCTCAAGCAGGGGTCCTTGAGGGAGTTCTGGGGAATCCCCAGAAAAATGGCGAATATTTTATTTTCACTTTTGAACTCACTATAGAAGGGAGCCCAGTGTGAGTAAGAGTCATTAGAGTGACTATTCTGTTCATAGGTTTCACTTTCTCGATGGTTATCTCCTCAACTGTAACTGATAATTCTGGTCTCAATGACATCTAACAACCAAAATCTTATCAAATGGGGGTCCATGACCTAATATGTATCAATTAAGGGGTCTTTGACACGAAAAAGGTTGAGAACCACTTATCTAAATTAATTATAATCATTCTGATGTGGTATTTTCTGTAATCATCTCTTGTTATTGGCACTTGCTCGGTGCAGAGGAGAAACAGCTGTGCTCCCATGAAGAGCAGTAAAGACATTCTCTCACTCTGTCACTGCAAGTTATATTAAAGTCTTCTTTTTTTTTAGCTTAGAACAAATAAATAAATCCAAAATGTCACTGAGACTGGATAAGAATTTCAAGTATTTGAAACTTATCTCTGACTTGTTTCTCTCTCCAGTATTGGCACAAGGGTTGTTTCAGCTGCGAGGTGTGCAAGATGGCCCTGAGCATGACCACCTATAAAGGCTTTGAGAAGAAACCTTACTGCAGTATGTGAGTGTTAACACCACACTGATCATTCTCATGGTTAAAGGGACAGTTCACCACAAAATTAAAAATACATACCTTTCCTCATACCTGTAGTTTATTTATCAGTCTAGATTGTTTTGGTGTGAGTTGAAGAGTGTTGGAGATATCAGCCGTAGAGATGTCTGCCTTCTCTCCAGTATAATGGAACTAGATGGCACTCAGCTTGTGGTGCTCAAAGTGCCAAAAAATACATTTAAAAAACTCCACAGCAATGTCTTTTTCCAGAACTCACGACCCGGATACTCAAGATAATCCACAGACCGCACAGAAGGAAGTGTGCATCTCCTGCTAGCTCACCTAGCACCACTGAGCTAGTTAATGTTACCGTTCACCCGAGGAGGACACCATTAATGTTTACATCTTGCACTGTATGGAGCACGAGCCTCTCATCCATGAGGAAGTGCACGCTTCCCTCTATCCCTTGAGAGGAGTTCAGATAGTCCCTTAGGGCCCTGAGACACCAAGCCAACAGACAGCTGTTGGTCGATGTTGGGCCATTGGTGAGAAAAAGAATAGAAATGGAAGTGAGGAAAGTAAACAAAAGGTAAAAGTCAAGAGGCTGTGAGATCAGACGAAACATGTTATATTAGATTTTTTTTAAATTGAGCTCTGTATCAGAAACAATTTGTAATTGTTTGTATTATTGTTGGCTAGTAGTCTTTAAATATAATTTATCCTTTCAACATCGGGTTGTGTTGTTAACGTGCTAACTGGTGTCTTTAATCCATCCTGTCGGTCTTGCGGTTTCCCTTTTTGAATGACAACTACAGACTACCACCTGCTGATATGGAGTTATTTACTCTCACATGGGCGCAGAATATATGTGCTAGTTGGCTGTAGTCTTTGCGGTATGTTCATAGTTACAATATGCAATATTGTAAATCTACATTTCATCTTTTACTTGTTTACAGTTAAAGTCTTTACAGCCAAAGCAGCAGAATTGTCATTTTTGGGAGCTTTTGGTCATGAGATGAGTAGATTTTTAAATTCAAAAACATGTTTGAACATTTGTTATTCTCCTCCTCTTCTTTCAGGCATTACCCCAAAACCTCCTTCACCATAGTGGCTGACACCCCCGAGAATCTGCGTCTCAAACAACAGAGCATGCTCAACAGCCAGGTGAGAGCCACCCACAGATCAGTCCTCTGTCTCAGCTATCACTCCTGCTCCTGCTTTCTGTCACTGGCAGAGATACTCATCCTAATCTTGCTGTCGTCATCATGACTCGCTGTATCTTCCCCTTCTCTATCTGTCTGCTCCACTCAGCTGTCCGTCTGATTCAAAAGAGAAGATGAGGACACATCTCTCAGGACAACTGGATTCCTTTAATTGAATCAATTGAGCCCTTTGACCGTATACTGCAATGAGAGCACGCAAGCCTGACTTTAATGTGAAGCTCTGAGAGTGGACTCTAATAACCTTACCAAAAAATGGAGCTTTATAAGTTGAAATGTTTCTCCTAAGTGATCGTAAACTAGACAGTGGTTTTAAAATACTTAATCTCTTCTTCCGTGTGGCACCAGCTCAACTCAGCCTCCCTGCCTGCCTGTACTGTTCTTAATCTCTAATCTAGTCACACTGTTAAAGACAGCAAATTAACCCGATCAAAGGATTAAGTCCTCCAAGTCACGCAAAATTAAAGAGAGAGTTCTTTACAGTTTGAATTTCACTTAAGGGATTGTCTTGTCACTCAACGTGTGGAGGCGAAGCTTTCCTTCCCCTGCACTATGTCCACTAGAGTTGCAGCGATATACCAGTTTCAAGTTATATTGTGATATAAAAGTTGACGGTTATCATAACGTGTATATCATACCCTTCTGTTTTCATTCCTTTAAGGGTCATTTTACTGGTAATAATATAAACTGTATAATATTGTGATACTGTGAAACTAGGATATTTTCTGAGACGGTTATGGTACTGTAAAAATTTCATACTGCTACAAACCTAATGTAAGTAAGATTCTTTCTGTTTAGCTAGAAACAGCTCCAAAATAACCATAGCCAAACCAACCAGACTCCATATAAATAAATAGTAATTTTATCATTGTAAACACACTTCATGTAGAGTCAACAGAATCGAGAAAACTGTTTTGGTTAATCTTTCCACTGATCCAACAGTCATCAACTCTGGTTTTGTTGGGGGAAAAAACTCAATCTACCCAGTTAGATGTGAAAATATCCTGGCTCAATACATGCTAAAACTACTATTTTTTTAAATGGAGTCTGGTGTGTTCGTCAATAGCGATTTTGGCTCTGTTTCTAGTTTAACAAAAAAAAATTTAGTCTTGAACAAAAAGGTCTCTCTCTGTAGGAATCCTTTCCATAATGTTGTCAGACACATAATAATAATCTGAACCTGTCAGCGGCAAAAACAAACACCCTTAATGGATGTAAATTGATAGTGCAAAATGCTCCAAGGGGGTTCCATTGCAGACTGTGGCAGCGGTCTGACTCAATATTGGACCAGTTTCATAACTCCATTAGTCACTTAGACACAGAAACATGGGAAAATAGGTTCCAGGTTGAAAAATACTAAAGTTAACCTTCACTGTGCAGCTGATGCTTCTTTGTTATGTAATCTTCTTTTGCTTCTCAATTTCTCTTTAAAATCCATCAACATCACCCTATTTTTCAACCAGATGATGTGTCAGCATGCACTAAGATAACAAACCACCTGTTAAATATTAGCATGACTGTTTGGTGGTGTGAAAACGAACCAATCTCTTATCTAATGTCACTGAAACTTTTTGAAACAAATTAAACAAAAGGCAAAAAATATATAAATAATTGCATGTGAGGGTGTGGTACACACTTATATGTAAACCAGGATGTTTTATAGAAAGGAAGATAAAGATTCTGGGCCTCTCTAGTTGTGTATTTATGGGGTTAGTATCAAAATAATATCTAAAACTACACGGTAAATCTGTAATCTCATATTTCACTTTGAAGAAAAATGTACAGATTTGAGGAATATTGATGGAAAAAATAGTCAACAATTGCAATTTAAAAAACAGGGGTGCAAAAGGTCGCTAATCTAACAAACTGTCTCTGCTACAAAAGTAGTTTATACAGATAAGTTTGAAAAGAACTCGTTCATACAATATTGCAATATATTAAATATGCATAGACATCAATAAACAAGTACTGTGTTCAAAAGAGTCCCAAGAGATTTAGTGACCTTATTGCAGACAAGACCAACCTCTTCTCTCCAGGAGTTTATCATCCATCATAATACCTAAAAAAACATGTCGATGAAACTTGATGTCTTCATTATGAATGTTAAGTTTAACATGCTCATTGTCATGCTTCATATTTCCTGCAAACAACATGGAACTAGACTTTTTGACATTGAGTGACAACTTGATTTAGTTGTCTCATGAGACTTGTTAAATCTCTTTTAGAGAGAAAAAGGCTGGTGTCATCTGCAAACAGAACATAGCATTAGATACAGCAGCATCATTAATATGAATAAAGAATAATAAGGGTCCTAATATGGCTCCTTGTGGTACACCATGTTGCATTATATTACTTGTTGACTCATTACCATTACTAAAAACATATTTAAGATACCAAATGATTTTCCTGAAACACAGTGACAGGAACAAGTATGATGTAACCACACACATGAAGCAAGAGTGGGTCTATTTTTGGTTAAAACCCTTTATAGTATCATGTGACATAATGTTATTTATGCTACATGACTGTTACGATAACAGGGTGATCAAATTTACACTAAAAGCTGTTTCCTCCAATCTTTTTTTCCCTCTTCTCCTCTCCTCTCCTCTCTCCTCCTTCCCTCTCCTCAGTTCATTGTTTATAACCATAAAAGTCTCGGTGGTCAAGCACTCTTACTGAGGGAGCATATTCCTCATAGCAAGAACATGACTCACTGTGTGTGTGTGTGTGTGTGTGTGTCAGGATCTCAGATTTACTTTCAAGTAAACATTTTGGCTTTATTTAAGGTTGCAAGTGTTTTCCCCCGCAGGCCTAAATTTACAAAGGAAATCTGACAGATCAAAGCACAGCACGTGTGTGTGTGTGTGTGTATGTATATTTGTGAATCACATTCCGCAAAAGTGTGCATGCAACCTCAAAATATCTAATCTAGCTTTTGTCATCTTGAGGAATACCACTCTGTTTGGGCTGAGAAGTTAACCTCAGGGGTTTTACACTGAAAGTTTCTTGAATCCTGATGAATAACAAATTTCCAGGCGCTCTATAAGGAGGAGTTTGAAAAGAGCAAGGGAAAAGGTTTCAGCGTGGTGGCCGACACTCCGGAGATGCAGAGAGTGAAGAAGACACAAGACCAGATCAGTCACGTATGTCCGGTTCGCCTCAAAAACCGCAGAGCATCGAACAATCTAATAACAATAAATCTTCATACGTCTCTTTAGTCATAACAGTTAGTCGAAGTTTTAGTTGTGACGTCTTTCCAACCTCTGTGTCTTTGTATAGTATGTATGTGTCTGCATGTCTGCACGCACTTCTATAAAAATCTTTCCTTTTACATGTAAACTTGCTTGTTAAATTATTTCTAAGTGTTCCTTTTTAACCAATGCTGCATTCAGGTTATGATGAATTTATCGTTGTTGACTGACTCAAGACAAAAAAATTACAACAGCCTTCAAATGCAGTTGTTCACAACCACCCACAAATAATAACAATGTCCTTATTTCAGATTGAATCTCTATTTTTTGTATGTTCTTGTGAAAGTTTTACCTCTTCAGACCTCTAAAAATTACCAAGAGCAATAATTGTTCTTTAATTGAGCTGCACACAGTTCATATAAATGTACCCTTTAACAAGCGTGTTGAAAAATAGACATAACTTCAGATTGAAGGTTCACAAACAAAAAAGTTGGTGGGAATTACAGACAAGAGGATATGGTACTTTTTTCCCCATCATTTGGTGACAGGAAGATGTCATTCAACGAATACCAGTTCACCATGAATGCAGCTCATAACTCCACGTGAAGGACAAAAATGTGCATGAATTCAAAATATAACAAATCTAATGAAACTGTTTCACTCCATTTGTGTCATTAACATGTTTGTCAATAGTTGTCTGATATTATTTGCTTTCTTATTGAGAGTGAGATGAGAAGATTGATACCACACTCACGTCTGTACATTGACTATGCCAGCAACTGGTTAGCTTAGCATAGCTTGGTATAGGATAAGGCTGTAGCCTAAACCTAGCCTGGCTTTGTCCAAAGGTAACATCTGCCTACCAGCACTCCTAATGCTGTGTTCACACTATGAGCAACAAAGCAACAGGCCACAAGTCAATTTCAATGAAGGCCGTTGACATGACGCTAAAAACTGATGCCCGACACCATGCTACGTAACAGGCGTGATGTGCTACAAATGAAAGTTGAGCTGGAGTCAACTTTTTTTAGCGTTCCGATGACACACCAAAGCATACATTAAATTAAATGTTTTTGTTTTTAGCTGTGGTCAAACACTTAAGCTAAAAACATGCTGCCACGACAGCGCATCTAGGGCTACAAGTCATTTGCAATGGAAGCCTTCAACATGAAGCTAAAAACTGACACATGACATGTTGCTACGTAATGGGTGTAATGTGCTACAAATCAAAGTTGAGCTGGACTTAACTTTTTCACAGTTCTCAAATGATACGCTAAAGCATCAACCTAATTATATGTTTATGTTTCTAGCTGTGGTCAAACACGTAAGCTGAAAACACGGGAGCGCTGTATTTGTTCCCAACCCATGTAACTACAACTTCCGGGTTTGTTGCATGATGCCATCAAAAATACTTTTTCCCATAGTGTCAGGCTATGTTGTAAAAGAAACATTAGTAAATCAGTGGATACAGATTTTGAGCACCATAACTCCCACAAAATGACTCTGTCACTATCAGGATTTAATCCATTTGATATGTTGAAAGATTAGAGGAGCCACACGATTAAATAACTTTATCCCTGTTCAAGTTAGCGGAGGGCTAACCCAGGAGTTGGCCACTTGGTTAGCAAAGTCTCTAGTGTGTTTGGCCTCACGATGCAAAAGATCCGAACAATTTTATACCTGGAAGATCTAATTTTTTGTCTTAAAGTGGCACTGAGCAACTTTGATTGAAATTATCGGGGCCCCGCCTCAAACGCTAACTTAGCTAAAGTAGCTGACACAATGCTAGCTCTCTGTGTATTGCAGTGCACACAGGGATGCAATGGGGCTGCGAAATGTGACATAACAAAGGGGCCCAGATATTGATGAAGAGCACAGATATATTTTTGGCCAGATGCTGACCTTAGATGACATTAAATCGAGGTGCTTTTTTGCAAACACAGACACAAAAACCCATGGTAAACGAGCGCTTTAGCAACACTTCAACCTTGACTCTGTAATAATGTAGCTGGTCATGCTGTTGCTTTGTCAGCAGTAGTGTGAACAGAGCATAAAAAGCACAAGCCATATCTAATTTATTTACTTTATACAAAACATAACAAGTTGCAGTGTTACAGAGGCTAGCTGTTCCCCCGTTTCCAGTCTTTATGCTAAGCTACGCTAACCAGCTGCTGGTTGTAGTTTCATATTTAGCGCCCAAACATGAGACAAGTGTTCATCTCCTTATCTACGTTTCTATAAGGAAGCAAATAAGTGCAGTTCCCAAAATATGAATCTATTCCTCTAACATAACATTGATTAAATTAACTGTAAATTTCAGGCTCTTTACAAGGAGGACTTTGAGAAGAGCAAGGGGAAAGGTTTCAGCGTGGTCGTCGACACTCCGGAGATGCAGAGACTGAAGAAGACGCAGGATCAGATCAGTAATGTAAGAAACACTTGGTTCACACAAAATACTAAACATATTCTCACCAAGACAGTTTTAGACACACTGCAACACAACAAATGTCGTTTATGTTTTTGTAACGTGGGTAAACCAGTCTTTAAAAACTAGCTATCATAACGAGAAAAAACTCCTCCCTTATTTAACTTCACAGTAAAAACAACTGAGTGTTTTTTCTGTCCGTAAGGGACAAAAAAAAAACATGGGCAGATGCAAAGCAGCAAGTCGAGCGATTTCCCCTAAGACCCAACAGGAACACGTGACGGTCCAATAACAGGACGGTACATTTCCACACTGGCACAGAGAGACGGAGCAGAACAAACTGCTGCAGTGAAGGATGTCAGAGAGTACAGATCCTGCAGAGGCACATTTCAGACATTTCTCCTCGTCCACTGAGGAGCAGCTGCCCTATATGGTCAAAGTCTCTCAGCTGTGGACACAAAGTGAACGTCCGCTCTCTCCGCACACACAGGCACACACAGGCACACATACCACACTGAAACACACTTTCTCTTTTTTGTCTCATGGGAGATCTGGTTGCAGAAAGGAATGACGGGTGATAAGCTGCATGTGAAAAAGGCAAAATCTACTAACTGCTTTTTCCACTGGGCGCTTCCTTCCTTCCTTCTGTCCTTCCTCACTCCTTCCTTCCTTCCTTTCTTTCTTTTTCTTCCTTTCTTCTTCTATCCTCCCATCCTTCCCTCCTTCCTTCCTTCCTCCCCTCTGTCCTTCCTCTCTCTTTCTTCCTTTCTTTTTCTTTGTTTCTCTTTTCTATTCTCTTTCTTCCTTCTGTCCTCCCCTCCTCTCTCTCTTCCTTCATTCCTTTCTCAGTCCTTTCTTCCTTCTGTCCTTCCATACCTTTTTCCTTGCTCATATCTTTCTTTCTTTTTTCAGTCTTTTTCATTCATTCCCTTGTTACTTTCTCCCTTCCTCCCTCCCTCCCTCCACAACTTCCTTCCTTCCTCATTCCTCTTTCGTTTGCCCTTCCCTCCTTTCTTACACCCTCTCTTCTTTCTTTCTTCTTTTGCTCATCTTTTTTCTTATTGTCTTTCATTCTTCCACCCTTCCTTCCTTCTACCCTTCCTCACTACTTCCCTCTATTCTCCCTTTCTTCATTTCTTTCTTCCTTCTGTCCTCCCCTCCTCTCTTCCTTCCTTCCTTCCTTTCTCACTCCTTTCTTCCGTCTGTCCTTTGCTCCTTTCTTTATTTCTTTCCTTTTTCTTTCTTTCTCTTATTACCTTTTCTTTCATTCTCTTTCTCATTTCCTCCCTCCCTCCATCTCTTCCCTCCTTTGTCACTCCTTTCTTTCTTTTGCCCTTCCCTCCTTTCTTACACCCTGTCTTACCTTCTTCCTTTGCTCATATTCTTTCTTTCTGTCCTTTCTTTCTCCCTCCCGTCCTCCACCCCTACTTCCTTCCTTCCTTTCTTTCCTTTTCTATATTTTTTTAAGGCCTCACTCTCCTCCAGTCTTTTCCCCATCACATCGTGTCTCTGTTTGCTCCTCCTGAGGTCTGGTGAGGACACATGGAGGCTGCTCTTTCTCTTCTCTTCTTTTCCTTATTAAACATCCAGTTAGGTTTCCTCCCTCAGCGCCTAAAGGCCTGAACTGCAAGTGATTAATGTGACAGAGGTTGTGTCGTCCCCTCTGTGTCGCTCTGTCCCCTGGTGGACTCACTGTGCACCGCCACAAACATCTCACTAGAGTTTATCCTCTGTAAAATGTGGAGCAGTATGATGAAGAAGAAGGACAGTCACAGTCAGTTAGTTTAAGATGCGAAAACAAAGTGCACCATATCTGAAAACTTAAAAGAGAAACTCCTCAGCTGTTTGATGGTAGGAGGTTTCTTCTGCACAGAAAGAACTCCCCTCATCATCTCTCAGCACCTCCTAAAATGGTGAGCTGCTCGAGGCTCAACGGTCAGATTTGATGTGGTTTTAACATGCGTGTGTTGCTGCCTGTGTGTGCAGATAAAGTACCACGAAGAATTTGAGAAGAGCAGGATTCGAAGTGACGCGCCTCCTCCTGAGAACAGACAAAGTAAGAGATAGACTCCTCTAAATAACTGCATTAACTGTATGTATATATATATATATATATGTGTATTGACTGTGTGTGTGTGTGTGTGTGTGTGCAGACTATGAGGAACAACCATCCAACCCTGAGAGACACAGTCAGCCGGTGGGACAAATGATGCGCCCTGCTGCTGTGGCACCACCTGGTGGAGTGGTAAGACTACTACATAAACATACACTTTGTGGCCAAAAGTATGTGGACACTCACCATCATATGTGATTGTTGAACATCTCATTCAAAACAATGGGAATTAATCTGATTTGCTCCCGTTCAGCCAAAACAGCATTCATGAGGTCCAACACTGATGTTGGGTGCTCCAGTCTGGCTCACAGCTGATCTTCCAGTTCATCCTGAAGGTGTTGGATGGGGTTGAGGTCAGGTCTTTGTGCAGGGCAGTCAAATTCTTTTACACCAAACTAGGAGAATCATTTCTTTATGGAGCTGTCCCTGGGAAAAGAAAAGGAACAGGAGACAGGAAAAGAACTTCCTCCAACTGTTGACACAAAGTTGGAAGCTCAGTATCTAAAATATCACTGTGTGATGCAGCATTAAGATTTCCTGTAATTGGAACTATGAGTCTTAACTCAAGCTATAAAAAACTGCTACACAAGTACACAGAAATACAAAAGTATAAGGCGAGGGTGTCCACATATTTTTGGCCATACAGGGTAGCATGTGTAGTATGTGTACGATGCAAGGTTATTATTATTGTAATATGGATTTTCAGTTTTGTTCTGTCCTTTATTTACATTTATTTATTTAGGTGCAATGACTTGTAGGGACGGGATTGATTGGAATCAAGCCAGTTTTCATGCACTGTTTGTACATATGCACCACAATTAGTATATAACCCACATAATCGGAAAGGCTATGATCAAGTGATCAGTGTGCTGACGGGAGTAAAGAAGGAAGTATTTTAAAGAGAAAAAGTCTGCGCAAGGAGGCAGGTTGGGGTGGTGGTTGGATCAGACTTTCTCCCAGACGACCTGCGATCAAATCATTGTGAAACTGAGTGAACTTTGAGTTTAACGTACGTCATCATGTTTCCTTTCCTAACCCTAAGCAACCTACATAAATTTACTTGCCTAAACCTAACAAAGGTAACTTCATGTTAAGTGCAGAACGTGACAATGCCCAACCATGTTTCTTTTCTTAAACCTAACCTACGTAACTTTGCGTTAAGTTCGTAACGTGACAATGCCCAACTATGTTTCTTTTCCTAAACCTAACCTACATAGGTTTACTCGCCTAAACCTAACGTTGGTGACTTTACATTAAGTATGTAACGTGACAATGCCCAACCATCCACCTTTTACTAAACCTAACTTAGTAACTTAACTTGGGTAACCCTAACCAAGGTAACTTTACCTGCCTAGACCTAACCTACATAAATCTGCAATAAGTTCGTAACGTTATGACACCCAACCATGTTTTTTTTCTGAAACCTAACTTTACTTGCGTAACCCTAACCTACACAACTTTATGTTGAGTACATAACGTTATGACACCCAACCATGATGCTTCTCCTGAACCTAACCTACATAACTTTATTTTCCTAAACCTAATCTAAGTAACTTTACTCACCTAAACCTAACCTACATAATTTCACGTTAAGTACGTAACTTAACAGGAAGTACAAGACACAATGCCATTCATGGGCTGCTAATTCGTCAGATATCATGCTAACTGTTGTACGAGGATACGTTTCCTAATGATTTGTGCTTGATAAAAGTATAGCTAGTTTAAGTTCATACAGAAATTGTGTTCTTTCACAATGTGTGTTGCTGTGCGTGTGTGTTCCATGAGTGTATTTATGTGATCTGAGTGTGTACCAGCTGTCAGTGTAGCTGTGTTTGTACAGTCTGTGTTATATGAGTGCGTGTACATGCGTCACTCAGTATGGAAATCCGATACAAATCATTTTGACTCAGTATGTTATACGTCAGTGCATCTGTGTGAGTGTGTCTCTGTTTATTCATTCCCTGTGTGTGTGTGTGTGTGTTTGATTTATCTCCTCAGAGACGTTACCAGGCCATGTACAGCTACACAGCAGCAGAAGCAGATGAAGTTTCCCTGCAAGAAGGCGACCTGCTCTTAGACGTGGAGCCCATAGATGAGGGATGGATGTTCGGGTGCAACCAGCGCACGGGGCAGCGGGGCATGCTGCCTGCTAACTACGTCCGACCCGTGTGAACCAAACAGACAGGAAGGGATCCACCTGCAGCACGAGCTGCTCTGTGAATCTGCCCTCACCTCCAACAACCAGGCTTCTTTTTTAAAATCAACTTCTGCAAATGAAAAAAAATCCCCAAGTAATTCTGCTTTGCCTTTTTTGTTGACGTATGATTTTCAAATACAAGAGAAGGTGTCAGTGAGAGTTCTTGAAAAATGAGACTCATCAGAGTGAAGTTTCACTTTAGGGAAGAACGATGGTACTAAAAGTTTCGGTGTTTGTAACAGAAACTCATAAGAGGAAGTAAGAGAGGAGAGGAGGAGGAATTAATTCACAAAACGGAAGAAATAATGTTAAATATACCCACAGTTTTTACTAAAATACTTCACACATGTAAACTATTCTTATCTGTCTCAGGTAACATTTCCCTTTTTATGTACGTCAGCAGTAAAGTGCAGCCCAGACAGAAACAGATGCATTCAAGTGTCATATGATGAACCAAAGAATTGATGACTTCTTGTTCGATATTATTAAAGACAATCATGATTTAAGCTGAACTGATTAAAAGTGGAATATTTGAATTTGTGAGTGAGGGGTTTTTTTTAAGTCAAAGATGATTATTTTGCCTAATTCTTTTATCCTAAAGCACACAACTTCTATTACATTGTTAACTGAGGAAATGATAAACACCACAGTGATATAATATATCAATACCTTTATTCAAAAAACAGACTGCACATCATGAAATCACTTTATGGATTAAAATTTAACCAAATCCAAACGTGTTGTTTAAAATAAGGCAAACTTAAGTTAAAACAATGAAACTGTAGCACCTTTTTTTTAAATCATTAAACACAGAAAAATAACACATATTCCCAACACACAGAAACATGAAAACAGTTTTGTAATAATTAATATTTGTAACGGCTCAGATTCTTGTCACTCTTAAAAACTGTAGTGCTCTTCAAGCTGTAAGAATGGGCTCCGTCGGGGAGAAGAAGGCAACTCGCTTGGCCACTCTGTTGTATAGTTTTGACGGCAGCCAGTTCAGATGCTTCCTGAACAGCTCTGGGTTTCTTCCTATGAAGTCTTCACACAATCTAGAGAGGACAGAAGAACACACAGCTTGTTCAGGTGCTTTAAAATGACTTCTGTCACATTAAATAATGAATAGCTGTAGCCCTGCTCTGACAGGAAGTGGTACATGTTACATATCTGACAAGCCCTTCTGCACACTGGTGTATTGTACTGTTCATTTGCATGTTAATGGTCTACCTGTTGGTCTCCTCACTTTCAGGTGTGTTTTTGCCCTCCGGACTGCTTTAAAAAACAGGACTAGGTCAAACTCTCGTTTGCTTGGTGTCCTAATTTCTGGAAGCCCTCGAGACAATTTGCAACATGTTTTGAAGCCTGTCAGTTTTCCCAAAACACCCATAATCTACCTTTGCACTAGTTTCCAACATCTCCTGGACTGATGTTTTGTGAAATTAGGGTTCATCTTCTATAAAAAAACTGAACGTGTGCACCAAATTTAATGGCAAGTCATGCAATAGTTGTAGAGATATTTCACTCTGGAGAGTCAGACCAACAAATTGGGGCCAACAGTGGGCTAACTGACCAAAATGGCTGCCACAGTGGCTAAAAATAAAACACCATTCCATAAAATCATTCTGTTGGCTGCAAGAAGTACATAAAGAAAGCTGCTAATTTTCAGGTGTTTTGAGGTGGATTTAGAGATCGTGATGGACAGTGCACCAATTTGTTCCAGATTAAAATGTCTCAATATCTACTGGATCGATTGTGATTAAAGTTCAGACATTCATGTTCCCCAGAGGATGAATCCAAATGACTTTTGATCCTCTATCGTTTCCTGTAGAGCCATGATGTGGTTTTCATGTTTGGTTTGTAGCTAAGTGTCCCTCCAACTGCTGAATGGATCACCATGAAATGTGGAACACACATTCATCTTCGCCTCAGGATTAATTTGAATACTTTTCATCTCAAAATTTTTCCTCTAGTGCCATCATCAGATTAAACTTCTGCTTGATCCAATTCTATTACCAAGTACAGCCTCAGTTTTACTTTTTTTTAAACCACTAATTAGCAAATGTTAGCATGCTAACACACTAAGCTAAAGTCCTTTTGTCAATGCACAAAAACCCGCTAACATCTGGCTTTTGTATTTAATGGAAAAGTTACCATTAGCATTCAGTTGTGGGACAAATAACTCAGCAGCAGTCGTGGGTACTCTTTTATTGACTCCAGCTCCAATCAGCAGTGATGACAAAATGATAACCAGGTGGACACCCTAACTTTATCCATTCCTCTGGTGCAATACAGTGATACGCATGCAACCACTAAATACCATTCATCTCCATTCAAACAACACTCTGACATTGTAAAATAGTTGGCACCGAGTTTGAAAGAGAGACTGAGTAAGTAACAGACATAAAAGAAGTAACCACCATGACATTTTCACTGACCTCTAAGCTGCTTTCTGCTGTTTACTAACCTGTTTTTCAGCTTGTCTGACATTGAACACAACACAACAGAATAAAAAAAACAAAGAAAAGTCGTACATGTTTTCTGCAAAGCCATGTAACTTTACACAGACTCCTTTCCTATTGCCAGTAGATCAGAGCTATCACCTACTTTTAGCGGACTCTCATGTTTAAAAAAAACTTTCATGTATGCTCTAATTTTGGTGGGAAAAGTGTACGAGTTGGTGGACATGGTAAACATCACACCAGCTTAGCATCAGCATGTTAGCATTTAGCTCAAAGCACAATCTAGATATACAGAAACGTAGTTCGGTTCATTTGATCAGGTCTGGTTCGGTCAGGACCCACGTGAGGGAATCAAATCCTGGTGACTGACAGACGATTATGCAGCAGCACGTCAACGCTTCTATAGTGTTTTTATTTATGTTGTTTGGTTTCACAAACAGCTCAAAGAGAAATAACTGATTGTACGCATTATTAGTGGGCTATTATTAGACTGCAAATTAATTGCATGTCATGAACAATGACTAACAGAGACGGGATGAAAAATCATTCATGGTCACACACTTTTTTTAATGGACTTGAGCAGAAAAACTGCAGCTGGATGCAAAGATGGCAGTTTTAACAGCTTTTCAATCAGGGAAAATACCCTCACTAAATTGCATGTGTGTCACCATGGTTACATGTATGCATTAGCCTTTATCAGGATCAATTATGAAATCATGGACAGATTTCATGATCAGCAGATGGATTTATCATTGGTTTAGCAATTGCTATAATCACATATCTGCCGACATGAAATCCTGTGCTTGGTTCGTTTTCTTTAACACCACAAGTCAGTCAGTTTGAGACAGCATGAAAAGGTTGGCCTCAGTCTGCTTTCAGTTTGGTTGTTTGGTCCGCACCACGGTTTGATTGACAGCTTTCACCCCAGCCCAAAACGAACCGTACCAACCACACAAACGGACCTGAGTTCATTTTAACCGACCCTTAAACTGTGCATCTGTCCAAAAAATAAACTTAAGAGAAAATTAACTTTGAGGGTCAAATGAGCAGGGTACAACTTCAACATTTTAATCTCCAGTGACTCATTTTAATCTACTTCACATTAACATACCAAAGTCTATTGCCTAACTGCACATAATAATGTAAAGCTCATTAGCGTGACACCATGTTTTCCTGCACACAGGTCCAACAGAGTGAGTATAAATAGCTCAGAGCATTTAAAGGGTCTCTGTGGACTTTGTTAAAACTGCTTAATCGTGTGTGAACGCAGACGACACAAACACGCTCTCACATGCTGCTAATGTACACAACGTGCAGTCGAAACAGGACACGCATGTGACCGGCCACAAACACAACAAAGTAAGCCATGTTACACAACACCCATGACGAAATATGTATTCAGAGCTGATAACTATTCAGGACAACAGATGTAAGGTTCAACGTACCTGTAGAGGGAGTACGGCTGGGTCTGAAACACGAACACGTCTTTGCAGTGAGTTTGTGTTGGAGACCTCAGAACAGCCACCTGATGAGAGGTTTGACAGTAATCACATGAGGATGGATGACAGATGAAATACTGGTTTTATTTTTTAGACTTATTTGTTTCAAGTGACTAGTGACATAAAACTAATAGAGATTTCAGGCACGCTATGAGATCGCTGCTTGTTCCCATGATATTTCGGCCGCGCTTTGGAAAGCAGAGCTAAATGGTAAACAAACATGGCAGCACACCGGTAAGGTAAGACAACACGTTTACATGTCGTTTTCTATATGTTCTCTGACATTTATCCTAACAATATGAGGCGGTCTTTGTGGAAAAAAAGCTTGTTTAGTGGACTAACTTTGCACTTGAAGGTTGCCCGTTCACTTACGTTTTAACAGGTCTGACGCTACTATGCGCCCCGGCTGTATCTAGGCTAACGGCTAACATGCTAACTCTTATTTTTATGTCACTAGTCACTTGAAACAAATTTAGGACGATAGGAGACAGGTTGAAATAAACCGAAATTTCCCTTTAAGAAGTTTTCTGCCTCTTAAAATGGTGAAAAAAGATTTTTTTTGTGGAGTGAAAGCAGCAAAATGTGGGTTACGATGTCTCTGTGGACGGAAACATTGATGGGTCCAAACTGGGTCCACAACTGCTGTACGTACTGGCGCCAGATTTTCTACAAACGGTCATGGTCATCAGAGGATAAAGTCACATGATGGTGACTTTTCCTCTACCGTCACTATCAGGTCCAATTTTTACTTTGTCCAAAACTTTGGTTCATACCGGAAAACTCAGCTGTTTCTTTGTGTGCTGAATGCTAACTAGCAAGTGTTAGCTTAGCCTGGAAGCGTGCTCAGATTGAAAACATTATTAACAGTATACCTGCTAACATTAACATGTTTTTCATGCAGCTAGTGTGGCCGGAAACTCTTTCCTACACACTTCCCGAGCAGATTATTCTACGGTTTCCACAAGGTGGCGACACGTTTGCACTATTTGCAAATTTTTGTAAATGGAAGAGAGACAAACATTAATGGTGTCCTTCTTGGCTGAGCTGTAACGTTAGCTAGCTCAGTGGTGCTAGGTGAGCTAGCAGTAGATGCACTCTTCCCTCTGCACAGTGATACAGTTGGCAGGTGTAGTTTGGTAGAGGGAAAATAGTTCCTACATGAAACTGCTCACAACAAGGTCTATGGATTATCTTGAGTAACCAGGTCATGATTTCTGGAAAGAGACATTGCTGTTGAGTTTTTCAAATGTATTTTTTGGCGCTTTGAGCACCACAAGCTGAGTGCCATCTAGCTGCATTATATTTGAGAGAAGGCAGACATCTCTACGGCTGATATCTCCAACACTCTGCAACTCACACCAAAACAATCTAGACTGATAAACAGCACTACAGGTAAGAGGAAAAATATGCACTTTTTATTTTAGGGGGTGAACTGTCCCTTTAAAGACAAATAGAATAGATCACATTTTTCTTATCAGTTCTGTTTTTGTCGGCAACATGTGTGAAATCATTATGACATAATGTAGGTGCACTTCATACTTTGAGTCCTTAAACCACTTAAGCTTTCTTTACGTA